TGCTTGCACAAGTCTGAACTAATCTTCTAGTACCAAAGCCGTATTTTTACCCATCACTCTGCAGTTATTAATAATGATTTGTAATGGAAAAAAACAATTGCACTTTGGTGGGTTTTCCTGTGTAAACAGAACTTTTATGTTTATGTTTATAAACATAACTTTTTGGGGTTTTTTTTTCTGTTTTAAAGGACAGGAGAAATTCTTTCTGAGTTTTGCAAGATCATAGTGAAAAAAATGGGAGCGTTTTTATTGAAAATTCTGTTGGTGTTTTTTGTTAGTCATTTAGATATGCAAAACCAAAATTTCTATTCTTTACTATGAGATGCATTAAGAGCCTGGAGAAAAGGCTGTCACCAATTTAAAACCTCTAAATAGTCCTGCAGCAAAACTAGATTTGAGAGTCTTTTGATTTAAAAAAAAAAAATAGGGGGGTGGAAGGCAGAGAAAGACCACAAACTGCTAATGGAGTCTCAAAATATGATTGAGAGATTAGTGAAGAAGTGGGTGACAGATTGGGGAACGTACAGGCTACTTGTCCCAAATTTCCCTTTAAACCCAGGCTGTGGTATCAGTCACTCGGATGTCTTTTTTGATGTAACTTTTTTTCCTTATCTGATCATTTGTTTTAGTCTGTGTAGGAGTTTAAATTTGGTGACTTTACAGAACCTATCATGTTTTGCAAGGAGGAAACATTTCAGAAATAAGAGGGGTTAACTGCTGTAAATGCAGTTTTCATGAAGCTGCCCAGCATATTTGGCATTCAGGTTTTCTGCCCATGTTGGCTTCTGCCTGTAAATCCCAAAATGCTTTTTGCTGGGGACCTTCCACTCTGAAATGATTTCTCTCCGTTTCTGGGCCATTCTTTCTGTCTTGACTATTTATATGGAAAAAACCTGCATTAATCAGAAGGATTGAAGATGTGCTGGTTGCCTTCTTTCTGGATTTTGCTTTCAACTCAGTGTCTTCATCCCTAAACTGTTGTGTTTCTGTGACTGTCTCTTCATGAATCTCAGGTCTGAATGATTTGGAGGACATTTGGATAATTAGTAGCAATACAGTCTCCAGTATATCTAATTCTGTGTAGTTTGTTCTCTCCTGAACTCAGGTGTTCATGTCAGTTGTTCACTTAGGCTAATGCTTGTATCTTCCAATATTTCTTTTCTCGTTGTAGATCTTGAATTATAAAAATGCCATCCTGATATATCTAAATGAATTCTTAATTTTTCTGTCAAAATATTAGGAAAGCATGGTGCAATTCTTTCATCTCTGTTTTCCCTTCTCCATTACTGGATGTTGGTGTTTGGGAGTCTCCTGTATGTCAGCTCTTGCTTCCCTAATCTAATCCTTAGTGAATCTAAAATATGCCCTGAAATTATTTGTTCTCTAAATTCATGGAGGCAAGACTAAGCATTTCACAAACTCTGTTGCTGTTTTGGAGAATTAGGTTTGTCTTTATATATGCATTTTACAGAAGCCTGTTCTGACGAGTGATCCTCTGACAGTTCCATTTCAGATTCAGGAGTAGCAGGCAGGTCCATGGGCATCATTTCCAGTTTATTTTTTGTTTGTTTGTCAACGTATCTTTTTTCAATACATCATTTTCCTATTGCTGGTGTCTGAAGATTTCCTGAAGTGACAGGTTTCACTAATAATTGCATACATGTTGACTTCCAATAGTAAGAGGCTAAAATTATACACACTTTATAAAGAACTGTCTCTTTAAAAGTCAGGTCTTATTTCAGACAGATTGCTGGTGGCTCCAATTTCATGTTCAGGCTTCTTTGGCATTTCATTGGGAGGCTGGGATGAAACTCCTTTCTATATATATTTTTTACTCTAAGCCCCTGCTAATAAGTTATTCCAATAGATTTTCTTTAATGGATTTTCATCTTCTTACAGTCTGAGTCTATGGTATTTTTCATTACTGTCTTCAACTGTTTAAATTACTAAATGTAATTCTCATAGTTCTTATGATTTAAACAAAATAAAGAGTGTGGGTGTATAAACCTTTCATAAGCTACTGTCACAAACTGTATTATACAGTGGTGTATAAAGTAGGTCATAGTTTGTTCTCTGTTATGCTGAAACACCAAGTCTCAAATCAGAACGTCAGTCCCGGTTTTGTATTAGTGCATTAAGATGAAGGAAAATTGCCTCTGTTATCCAAAACAGATGGTAAGGATGTTTGAACTTAATGCATATATAAATAGGCCAATTCTCAGATGTCTCATAAGAGTTTTGCAGATTTTTGAGTATTCCACTCCCAGGAGCTGACCAAAACAGCAAATCCAAATACATTCAAAGCCAGTGCTTCCTTGAGCCATCATCCTCAGCATTGCCACACAAACATGATAAACTATGTCAAATGCGTGTGACTAATGCATAGTTTCATCAGGTTCGCTCTGTATTTAAAAATAAGAGTAATGAGACTGAAACATAGTACTAACAAATTGAACTTTTCTGATGGTAGAAACCATATGGCCTATAGAGATAGAAACCGTAATACTGAAAATGAGAGGTGAGGTGTGTTTTTTTAAGTTAACACTGTCATAGCACTTAAGGGTCTCAGTTGCTCTATGTCTTAGGACTTAAAACAGGAGCTGTGATCCTGCTACCAATGATCATGATGTTTTATTTTTATTTAAATCTGATGTTGCACCTCCTTAAATTAGTGATTATACATTCTCTGGGGATAATTTTCACGCATTCTGTTACACAAACATTTTGGGAGTTACAAGGTGTTTGTAATTTTCACGGGAGCTGAATGCAGCTCCCTGTGAGAATCATTTTCTTGGCACTGCCCTGAGACCAGCAGCAGTGCACAGTTGCAACTGCCACTGTGTAACTGGCATCCTTGGGCAGTTTGTTCTGCCCAGTTATGTCCATACGCCTTTCCCCAGCATGCAGGAAATCTCTGTAAATCAAAAAGAGATGGTCTCCATTACAGTAGAATCACAGTTCTGCTGTGGGAGCTGTGGTGTTAATGTTCAACTTTTTTTTCTTTTTTTTTTAAATGCAATTGAAAATAGAAATGAGTCTTTCTCTTGCTCTGTTGACTGCATTATAGGATTTCAAGACTGAAGTGGTTAAAATTCAGCATCTGAATGGCATGGTTTGTAAGCTAGTTGTTCACATCGACATTCACACTATTCATTGCTTTTAGGTATATGTTGTCTGAAAGAAATGGGCTGGATTATCAGCTAGTGTAAGTTGTTCTAGACTTCGTGGGAGCTGTGCTAATATACAAACTAAACATCTTCCACAATATTTTAAGTAAGTTAGTTTAGTTTGAGGTGTCACAACCTGAAAAGTACATTTTTCCAATGGAAATTTCTAGTAAAAAGACTTAGCCAGGCAGCTTCTTTCCCCATCTTTCCAGCTTATCTGAATCCTGAGGACATCTTACTTTTCTATCTGCATAGGAAGCCCATATGTGTCGAAAACTATTTAAATAACTGCCTGAAATCCAGATTAATCCTGACAACCTGTGCTTCCTGGTTAGTGTGATGTGATTTGAAATTGTTATGCTTAAGTAACACAGGTTATGATAAGACACGGACGCTCCGGACTAAAAGCACTGCTAGCAGCTACCTAAAACACCTGCTCATTTTAATGTGAAACAGAGTGTGTGGGCCCTGGGGTTTTTGAACTTGTTGCAATTTTTATGAAGTACTTGCAAAGGCCAGCCTCATCACATCAAGCAATATTAGATAAAATTCAATGCAATAGTATTTTGTATCTGGGACATTCATAGTCACATATGACATTTCATCCACTCTGATTTTTCGTCTCATCAGCTGTACACTGGGCACAGATTGCCTTGACTGTTGTAGAGCATAGGGCATATCCTGCCACTGCAGTCATAGTTTGGGTTTCCAAGGTATTGTCTGTGTTCCTCACCGTCATACACCCCTTTTCCTGTGTGTTTTCTATGAGCTGAGAACTTACAGGTTGGTAGAATGTTGAGCACCTTAAATTAGCACATGGGCCTGTTGCAGTCCGGTATTCTGGGTACGTACCAGGAGGATTTTGTTTGGTGTTTTTCGTTGCACGTGTTGGAAGGGTAACTAAGCTCTCCTGAAACTCTATGTACAGAAGGGGATCTTTTGGGCTTTTTTGGCTTTCTTTGCCTCCAGCATAACTTTTATATATAAATCTCCCAACAACCTTGCTTGATGTGAAAGGTGTGCAGTACAGATGCATCTTCTGAAGTGTAGAGACAGAAAAAAAAGATTTTTATCTTTATAATTTAAAAGGCAGTTTTTAAAATATTAAAATATTAAGAACAGAATATGACAGCTGAAATCACAAAAGTAGACTGAGGAACCAGACTGTTGTATCAGCAGAAGAAAAACATTAGGTTAATCTGTATTACAGCACTCTGAAAGAATACAGAGCTTTGAAAACAGCTTTCACTAGGGGGTGGGACATTTTACTTTTATGTAGAGCTTTTGTTCATTTAGAATTGTTTACTCCAGCAAGCAACCCTGTGCTCTTTGTTTGACTGATTTTTTCCATTTGGCAGACCCTTTGCTATCACATGGATAACATTCTTCTTTCCACTGAGACATAGAAAAACTATTCTTTATTGACCTTGCTTGTTGTCCTAAATGACAAAAATATATTTATGTACTAGGTGAACTGTATGACTTCATCCCTGACTTTTAATTAAAAATTCTTCAAAGCAAAAATCTCAAAGAATGGCTTTTTTAACAACCCAGTAACTTTTTACTAGCAAACAACTCTGCCCTCAGCTACACATGCACAACTCCCACAGATGGCACTGAGAACTGCGTACAGCTATCTGAGTGCTGAAGCTATGTCAAAACAAAAAAATGCCATGCATAGAAGAAATATGTCTTCTGGGTTGGGTGGGGGATTTTGGTTTATTTATTGAACAACACAGTATTTGCTGTTGAAGTATGGAAGTTTACTTTTTTTGTTTCTGTGGATGTTTTGGAAAAGTTAAGTATTTAATGTTTTATTTTGTGTGGTTGCAGTGGGAAGCAAAATGGAAGACTCAGAAGAACCTATAGAAAATGATTCAACATCTCAATTTTAGTTTTCTCACCAATATCACAAAACACAGAGCTCATGGACTAAATGTTGTGGAACTGATTTAGAAACACTCTTAGCATTACAGTTTTACTTTTACATGTGAGGTGCTGTAAATCAAAGGGAGACTATGTAAGGCCCCAGCATTTTGAGACAAAGTTCAGTCTTAGTGTAAGTGAGCACAATTCTGTTATAACAGATGGAATTGTGCACATTTAGCCAAAAATTTTGAGTCTGTATTTATCTTGTGTTTCTGAATGCTCACTTGCAAGATTTCTGGCAGGGAGAAAACTCTGGATGAAATAAGTGGGGTTATGCCCATATGTAGGCGAGTGTTAAAACTAAGGCAAAAAATCTTCATTTAGTATAAAGTGGAGTAGCTTCACTGACTTATGCAGAGCTGTGACAATTCACACAAATCCAGGCTCTGTTCATAATGGTCTGATTTTCAGAAACGCTCTGCCTCTGCAATTCCAAGTGAAGGCAGTGAGAGCTAGGGTTGCTCTGCATTTCTGCAGGGGGAAAAAGTCAAAGGCCCTTTTGTTACCACTTAGCACATGTGCTGAGAAAATGTGAAGTTAAGATCACAGTGATAGCATTTTCAGTGATCTTGTGTATGTGTACTTACATAAGGTGCAAGCAGAACAAAAATCAGATGGGGCCCCCTGCTAGAGAAATCTCATTATTTTTTTAGTTCAGTCTTGTCAAGCGTGTTGCTATTTAGGCCTTTATAACTTCACAATTAGAGAAGATAGTTGCAGTTCTACTACTAATTCCATACAAATCAAACAAAGGTCAAGTTGTTTTGAATGAAAGCATGATAAAACACGGATACTCTCTGGCTCTTGCTGTGGCTCAACATGGATTTCTTCCATCACTTACACAGACTTTGTCTTCACTGTTATCCCAGTACCCACCCCACTTTTTTTTCCTGGTTTGTGACACTGGTTGTTGCAGCAGATCAGACCATTTGAAGAAAAAACTCTCAACCTGCATTCTTCAACCCCAGCTGTATGACCCCATTCCCTCCTTCTCTCAGGCACTACCAATTGAGCCAGTACAGGAAACTGCTGAGCCAACTGGAAAATATAAAAGTATTACTTGTAGTGTTCAGAGTTTGGCTGCTCAGCTCCTTGACTGGCTCACAGTGGGTTTGGTGGGTGCCAGAACCTAAGGGTAAGTGTGGGAATGTGGCCCTAAACAATAGGTGCCAGTATCCTTTAGTTCAACTTAGCTTATATTGCAGAATTGCACCCACGGTATCGCCACAGGACAATGGTGTCTGTAGCAACATTAGTTTACTCTAATGGAAAAATTTTAGGTGGATTTTAACATCAAGGTAACACAAACATTGTAAGTAAATAGTAAAGCCTTTATTCTCGTTAAGAACAGCATTTTGAAAATAAAACATTTGCCCATGCTTTACAACCTTTGTAGTTTTGTATACTTATGTACAGTCATCATGGTACACATTGATTGTCTTGAAAATCCTTTAAAGATGTACTTAATAAGATACCAGTATGCAACAATCAGCGGAAAAAAGGGTACGTTATAAAACACACATTAATACATTTAATAAATATATATTATCTATCAAAAGTGAGCTTTAGCTCTCATCAATTAATAAAAAGCACCTGCTTTGTAATCCTGTAAGTTGGTAGAATAGTCCAATTGTTTCATTATAAAAGCTACAATGCTCCCTTTTGCATGGCCTTTGGTTAGACCCAAGGCATCAAGCTCAAACAAAGCCAACCAAGATGCCTGTGTTTAGACTAAAAACAGAAACATCTAGTTCTATAGTATTTCATGTACCTTGTTTATCGAAACAACTGTATTTATTGAGAGTGTTCTTCTGAAGACGCTACATATTTTCTGGCAAGTGTCAAACACCCTCAACTCATCTGAAAGCAGGACAGGATCTGTAAAGTATGGCTTTGAAGTTCTTCCCAGCCATTGATCAAAAGCCAGTTACTATAAATCTCATTTTGGTAATAGTTTTTTCAGATGCTTTACATTTTCATTTTTCTGCATGGGAACACCATGAGCACATAACCATCAAGGGACAACACAGTAGCTTTTATAGTATAAAAGCTAATTATAATTAACTGAACTGCGAAAGGCTTGTGCTTACTTATTATGTTGTTCACAGATGCTCTACATTCTAGGTAACTTCAATAAAAGGCAAAAGTAAACAATTTGTTTACTGTAACAAAAATATAAGTTAACATAAAGGCGCCTTTCTTCAATTACAGTTTTATCTGGGGCATTTTACATCGCAGATTAGTGACTTATAAAAAAGAGTTGCTTATTAGTAATTGTATAAAGTTGGAAAATTAAGACCCTCCTAATCTATTGCCACACCTTCACCACCACAAATTAAACCCAATCCTGCTAATTTTTAGTTTTGTGACTAGTCCACATGATTAACCCAATGAGATTAGTCATGTGAGTAGCAGTTTGTAGGAACTGGCCATATCTTTGGATAAGGCCTCAAATTTGAAACAACTTCATTGGGAGCAGGATTGGGAACTCTATTTATCAATTCAGTCACATCTAGAAAAAGAAAAAAATGTTTCTTAAGATAACTATATATTGTACAGATTTCGTCCATAGTCTGTAAAATGTGTATTATAATTCATAAATCTTGGTTGTAGCATGATAAACTTTTCAAAAGAAAGCTGTCCTACCATTTATGCCATGGTCATCTTATATGTTTTTATGACGTATTTTTTAAATTGGTTTTTAAAAGCAAAATTCTGCAGGCAAGTGATGATAATAGGTTTTTTATAATTCCAAATGCGCATCTTCTGGGTAACTATCATTATCTTAAATACTATCTTATTTGATCAAAGCTTTGCTTAAAACAAGCAAAACACATTTCTAAGTCACTGGATAGCATGCAATATCCACCCCTACCCTACTTGGTTGCTAAGGCCATCTAGTTACCTACAAAATAAAATAAGCAATCCCTATAACAAGCACATGCTTCCTTTGCCTCGAGGAGGAGAGGGCAGGGGGGAGCTAACATGCTCCTTCGCTCATGCATGACAGAAAAACATTGCTTCTGGAAAAGAAGGGCTTTGAAATAAAACCCTATAAGATGATCATGGCAAGAATGGCAATATATATTTTTTCCATATATATATATGCATATATATCTGTGTGCAACACTTAGGGACTGGTCTTGCAGCCTCTGTACCTGTATGTAGACCTACTGGTGTCAATGGGACTACTCATGGGAGTACAAGTCTGCAGGACCATGTTCCTAATTCAGTAGAAATGGAGGTACATGAAGAATCAGGAAGACTCTTGAAAAATAAAAAGCTTGTTTTTCTTTTGCAGTATAGAGCAAGTAACTTCCTTCTGTGAAGCTACTAAGCTATTCAGTTATTTGTACATTATATTTTTTTAGTTTGAAAATATATATTTTTATTACAGCATATGCAAAGTTTAATTGTTATAAGTTTCCTATGCCCTCAAGTAAAAACAATTAGCTTTTAGTATCAAGGAAAGCTAAGATTAACATTGGCCAAACAGTGAGGATACAATGATGTCTTCAATGTCCGATATGTATTAAATGTTAAATAAAGGAATGATTGCTTAAACATAATGAAAAACCATGGCACAAACAATGGGCAATGGGAACCTTTTAAATAACCTGGAGAAAACAAAGATAAAAAGCTTTGAGAAAGTCTGCCTTATATCAACTCAAAAAGTGGAGGGGAGGAGGAGGAGGGAAGAAACCACCTTAAAAAAACAAAAACAACAACAAACCACCTCCAGCACGGAGATTCTACTATCTAGGCACTAAATGCACAACCACATTGAAATGCACAAACAGCTGCAGTCGAGGGGACTACTCGTATGAACAGGGATTGGAAAGGGAGGGCTTGCTGCTATCTGCTGCCGGGTTTCTCCTGAAGGGTGGTCACCACTTCCCACCTGCCACCACCTTCCTGCCTGGCCAGGAACGGCAGACGAGCTGGCTTGGGCAGTACCGTGGTTGCCTTTCATCCACCATCACAACAAACTCCTTCTGGCAAACTGGAGGCACGCTCTCTCCCCAGCTAAGTCTTTGCCAAAACGTATCCCTCCAAAGTTTCACTCAGTGGCTTCCTCTGCAGGAGATGGGAGAGCACGGGCTCCACTTGCACCCGGGGCTGGTGCTGGAACAACGGGGAAGGGATCCCAGGGGCCAAGGAGAGCTGCCTCTGCGCTGGACCTGAGCTTTCTCTCTGCCTCAAGAAGCTCCGTAACTCCCATGAAACACACACAGACCCTTCACCCCTCCAGATCTGCATCTCCTACACCAGCTATTTAAAGAGAAGAGGATCAGCCTACAGTGTAATGGTAATTTAGTTGCCACAGAGCGACGATGCTTGACTCCACATGTGACTTAACAGTAGAACTAGATAATGAAGCAAACAGTACTTTTCATGACGTTTGAAATGAAGGGAAAAGGAGCAAAAGGGAAAGAAATCCTGCATGTTTTCACACTGTAGTGGCAATCTCTTGTGGCAACGTGAATTAAGTTTAGGTGAGAGGAGGGTATTTTGCAAGCAACTGGCAACCAACGAAAACAGGCTTGCCTCACACACTAGTTACAGACAAGAGAATATCTTACATTTCAGAACACAGTATCCCCCCTCTTCCAATTTAAGGTGTGCCTACTTCTATTTTAAATTAGATTCAACTTCAGTTTTACAATTTTGTTTTTGCAATTATCAGTTCAACGGTGTTCACATTTAGACAAAATCCTCTGTAGGATTTCGAAAGCTCCTGGATGTTTTGTTGCTTTGTTCTGGTACTTCTATGGATTCCTCCCTCAAAGACACACTGCCAGGGAACAACGTCCGCAACAAGGATTCTTATTCTCTACAGCCTACAGCCTTTCACCAGAGGTGTCGTCCAGTGTAACTTGGCGGAGCAGTTGGTATCTGGAAATAAGGATAATAAACCCATAACTGAGACATCTAGTCTGTTCAAAAATCAGTATTATCATGCTACATGTACATGACAGCTTTCCAGACAGTAGTTCCAGAGCAAGATGGTACAAAGAAACTCATCTTCCACCCATTTACCTCTCCGTAAAAACCATGACTCTATATAGACATTAATCTCTCATTTTACTATCTAATGTGCTAATGTGCTAATGATTAATCTCTCATTTTACTATCTAATGTGCTCCATTAAGCTTTGTATCTACCTCAAAACAAAACACCCACCCAAATCAAATTCTCTAGCTCCTCATCCTTAAACTGGGCTTTCCTGAGCTGCATATTCTGGTATCAGAAAGCAAAGGCAGAGATGAATCCAAGAATCAGGCACAGATGAATCCAAGCATCAGGAGGATGCTATTCATTACTGACAGCAAAGCACAAGCCTTTTCATTTTATTCAAGTTGATACGTTTCCCACTGTCTTACCCACACCAGAGAATCCTTGCACCTAGTCCCTTTTGTTCACTAAAATCAACCGAAACTTTACTTATTAAAAAAAAAATAAAAAATAGAGACCTGCAATCAGTTCACGTTATCTGGTTTTAAACACAGAGGTTGAGTTATGGAATCAGCTCATGATTCAAAATAAAGAAAACCCAACTCACATGAGTATAAACTGGCTCATGGGTAGATTTTTAAGAAGCATGTAGGTATGCATGAAAAATATGGGGATGAAAATTCTTCTTTTTCAACAATATGCCTCCTATATTAAATGTCTTCAAGTGCAAATTACACATCATATGAAAAACATTTGCGAAGTCTGTTTGGCGTCAGATCACTAAGCCATTCTTACAACAACCAGGCAGCAGAAAAAAAAAGGTCTTTCAAAGAACGGCATGCCAAACTAGTGTCTAAGAAAGAAAAATCAATGCCATTAACATTAAATTATTCTATATTCCTCTTTTATGCATTGCTTTCCAAGAGACATACATATCTGTAACTTACAAAGAATTACATTTGTTTTATAAGAAAATGGAAAATATGTGAAAGACCACCACTATCTGCAACAATGATTCTTATTTAAAGTAATGTACTGGCCTGTAAACATTTCTGTGACTCACATCATCTTAAAAAAAATACAGGTTAGAAATTGTGTCACTTAATAGTTATGCTAAATACCTTAACACAAATTTAATTTGAAAGGGCCCCTGAATATGTATTGTCACCAAAGAACTTGGTTCACTCAAACTACACAGCAAAATGTGAATGGCCAAGTAAAGAAATGCAAAATACTTTGTAATTACATCT